CTCCGGCCACTGTCTGATGATAACGTAATTGGAAATACCGTGCTTGCAAGGGGAATGATGTTTGTACGGGATCATGTGGTTGCAAAACGTGGAGAGCTAACGAAATGAGGCGGGATAATGTTTCTGGAAATTCAGGGAAATAACATTCCAAAATAATCAAGGATGTCAAATAAAACATTTAACAGACACCGCGATGAGACCTTTGAGTAGACTGTATGTGCATTTCGTCCATTATTATTTTTAAAATAAAGTTATATACAGCCAAAGAGAGAGTAGAATTCGTACAGTACAGGGCAGTGCATGTAGTTGCTTTAGTGGAAAAACTAATTCCAGTAATTCCGTCTTTAAAAAAAGTATAGATATGTAATTTATTCCTTCGTTTCTACATATATAGTTGTTTAACTCTGGAAATAGACTCATTTTTTTACGGGGTATATATAATTTGCCTAATATTGCTTTGAGTCGCTCAATGTTATATCATTATGCGTGTGTACAATGAGTGCAGATAACAGTTTCACTAGACTAAAAGGCTAAGGGCTCTTTTTATAAAAGAACCTGCCGAGATTCCTCATGACCAGTTAAAAACCCCTCTTCTTGAGCTGCTCCGTTTGGTATTGAAATGCTGGAATGAGGACAGACTCCAACTTTTGTCGGTAAATTAAAAAAAAAATCAATTTTAAGTTTATGGAGAAGAAAATGATGGACAAGTTAACTTAATGAATAAAAAAAAAACTAAACCAGGTTATTAGGGCTAGCCAGAACAAATAGGGAATTGTAAACCGCCTACGTGCCAGAAGTGGTTTTAGAAACTTTTACTGTCAAATTCTGTCATTTTTACATTTTGGGAAGAGCCTGCCTAAAGGCAATGAAAACACGCTCGCAAGTTTAATATGGGAAAAGCTGAGACGTTCGTGGTGACTAGAGAGTTTTCTGCAAGAACCGTGTGCCACAGATCCTGTGGGGGTAGCTATAGCTGAAGAATTTGTTTTGTGGCGATTTTGATAGACCAAAAAACAACACTGAAGTTGTGTTGGATGGATGATATATTTTACATTTTCTAACAGCCTCTTTCAATTCAGGGGCGTGGGGGGGGTGGAGACTATCCTGGTTAACAATGGGCACAAGGCAGGGTACACCCTGGGTGGGATTCCAGTCTATAGTACGGGACACACAGACACAGATATACCCACACACACTCAGGTCCAATTTTACCAGAATGGTTTTGGACTGTGGGAGGAAATCCACCTGAACACAGGGAGAACATATGAACTCCACACATCTACCGTAGCACCCTGGGTTTGGAATTGAACCCAGGGCCCCAGCACTGCGAGGTAACAATGCTCACCCCTGTGCCATCGTGCTGTCAAAATCTGTCATTTAAACTAGAATATAAGACAGGTTCCGAACAAGAGGAGAATTTTAGCCCATCTGGACCTTTTGGTTCCTTGAAGGAAACTAGGGTATCAAATTAGAAGCGGCTTTTTTGTAGACTTCTGCTGCCTTCCTTTTGCGTGAAGAATTCCCTCACGTTCTCAGACATAATCGCCTTAGTTTCCCCTTGTGTCGTCCTGTTTGTATTTCACTGCAGATTCCGTAGATGTCTTGTTAGATGGGCTTAGTGAGGACCTGTGAGGCTATTGAATGCAGTCCCCTTGCAGTCTTCT